AACATAACAGGGGGTTCATAACAATTCAGGACAGTAACGATTACATGTGTGTGGTGACGTCTTACTGTGTGTCCCGCTTGCTCTAACAGAGCTTTGACCTCTCTGACACCTCGGACCATGCTTGGAGTCGGTTGCAAGTAGCCATCATTTTCCAAATAACCAATCCTAAGAGGTCTGGAGCTTCTGTATATCTGTAGATGAGGACAGAATTATTAGCCCACCAAAGAAAATTTCAGCTTTTTAAAAGTATTCCCAAGTGCTGTTAAGAAGAGCAAGGGATTGTTAACACGTTTTTTTTTTTCCAAGCATCTTAATTTTATTTTGGATGGTTACATTATTTTACTTTGGTCTTTGTTTAAACTCACAGATTTTCAATGGGATTAAAGCCATGACTTTGTGCAGGCCAGTCAATAACGTTCACTTAACAAGTAGGAGGCACATATGCAAACTGCTGTAATTCCTACACCGTTCACCTGATTTGGATGTAAATACCCTCAAATAAAAGCTGACAGTCTGCAGTTAAAGCACATCTTGTTCGTTTCATTTGAAATCCATTGTGGTGGTGTATAGAGCCAAAAATGTTAGAATTGTGTCGATGTCCCAATATTTATGGACCTGACTGTATGCAGGGTTATAGCGAATGTTTTCTTTGAGATTACAATTCCAGGCTTGGTTAAGACATTCACTAGTGTCTTGGCTAAGGTCTTTAGACATATTTCTCACTAGTTTTCTTCCCAGAATCAATGAAATCTTTCAGTTTTCACCTCTGCCAGGCTTGTTCTGTACCCTGTGGCTCTCTTTGAATTTCTTGATACTTCTGACTCCACATTGTGACACTTGGAAATGCTGTGATAACTTTGTATAACCATCTCATCCTTTGCAAGGATTAACAATTCTTTTTCTCAAGTCTAAAACTTTATGTATTTATTTGCTTTTTTTTTTTTCCATGATGCTTTCTCAACAGCTCAAACCCTTCCTGAGGTTTTTGTACTGTAAATTGGAAAATAGCCCTGAGTTTTAACTTGACTTGAAGAGCTTTGAACATTACAAATACAATGACTTTTAAAAAGGTCAGCTTTTCCGGGGGTTGTTATATTATTGGCCCAGGTTAATTTTTTTGTATTTCTGCTACAGTTCAAAGATTGTGTGTAAACAGAAAGAGTGTATGTGTTCAAAAGAAAACCGGTATATTTAGAAATGGTGAAAATGTTGAAAATCCTTTGCTCTCATAAAAAAAAAAAAAAAAAAGTACTTAGAAATGTTATGGGAAGACTATTAACTTTGTCCTTTAGAACTTCGTCTTTTAGCATAGAGAGATTTGTTAAGAAAATTAACTTGATTAATTTCTAGTTTCTAACATCTATGAATGATCTGAAAATATATAGAAAAGATGATCATCAACAGAGGACATGAATCCCACAGTACAGGACACACCTCCATGTTAAAAGGTAATGGTGGAACAGTGGGGTCCAAAGAAAACATGTGGTCACAAAGAAGTGCCTGCATGCACAGAGCCAGGCTGTCCACATCTCTTGCCATGGGTCCAGGAGATGACGACGCTAGTTTAGTAACAAGCATAAAGCAAATGTTTTGAACAAAATGTTCCAGAAAATTTGTGTAATATTATTAGACACTGGTTATATATAATCTGCATTTACTTCATGTGGTAGTCCCTTACCTGACTTTTGTCCTCGACAAATTGAACGAAAACCCTGTAAACTGTTCATTATCGAAAGGTGTTAACAAATAAAGAAACCTAAACTCATTAATTTACAATCATTTTCTATGACTAAAAAGTATCTACCTCAGTCGGTGAGCAGTTGGCTTGAAACCACAGATTCCACAGAATGAAGACGGAAGACGGATACTGCCACCTAGATCAGTGCCAATACCAAGCAGGGAGCCCCCTCCCCCAATGAGAGCTGCCTCCCCACCAGTTGAACCACCAGGAGTCTTCTGGGGGTTATGAGGGTTCACAGTCTGCCCGTAGATAGGATTCCTGCAGTCATAACTAAAAGTGGACGCAGACAAACAGGTTATGAGTCTTTACATAAAATACACACATGGAAGATGCAAATGGTACATGTACATGCGTTTCTACTCTATCAGTGGACTTAAAGCACTCTCCTCATTCACCCATGAGTACACAGAGTTTTTAACTGTTATAGTTTGTTTTAAATTTGAATTCTTGATTAAAAAAAAAAAAA